GAGACAAGGGCTCCTGGCTCGGCTGGCCTCGGTCTTCGGGCCCTGAACCAGGGAGCAAAGAATTCAAGCAGCCGCTGTCGACACGGCGGCTAATACGTGCCATCTGCCTCGCAGAATTGGTTGGTGTCCCCCACCTAGTTGTTGACGCAAACCAGAATTCTTGACGCGTCTGTCTGTCACCCATCAAGTCAAGGAGTGATGTTGCTGAGCTTCTTGCAAGAATCGTTGGTGGTGATCCGTACCTTGGGCGTGCTTTCTGCCTGTGCCTCGGTTCTAAATTCTAGATCGAATCTAGTTTGTAGAAGCAGGATCCTTTGCACTGAACAAACATTTTGGCATGAAGGACTGCGATTCACCAGTCCATCCAAGACTTCCAGTTTGAGCTCAGAGTATCAGGGTCGGCAGTGGCACACAACGGAACCTGAGGCACACGCTTGGTCCTGTCTGCTGCGATCTTGTTCGCAATGGTTTCCGCCTTTCGGAACAGTGGAGGGGCAGCTGCTCTTGAAATGGCCCTGTTGGTGCCCACCTGCTGCAAGCCATACCCGTGCTTCCAGTGGGAGTCATAAAACAGAATCTCACGTCCTGACACATCTGACAAAAGCAGATGGATCCTATAACTCTGATTGACCGCATAACACCGCATCATGCCATCTGTTCATCACACCGAGCGCTGCTCCTGTATCCAGGTGCTTGTACAAGGCCTGCAAAATCGCTCCAATCTATGTTGGAAAGCTGGACAAACTTGGTGCAGAAAACTTGGTGGCCCACCATGGACATCCAGTACCCTCCAACAAGGGCTATCCAGTCCTGGGCTCGCCAGCAACGGCCAATTGATACATTTCCAAGTCTTTGCATGCTGAGCACAAGGATCATCGCTACCCTGAGAAGTTCTATCAGTAACACGCTTGAAGACGTCATATCATCCGAGCTTCTTGGTCCAACTTCTCCAACTTCGACGGCCTAAAGAACTGACCTGGGCTCGACCTATACCACGACACGTGCTTAGCACGCTCACATACTTGCACCACATGCGCTCAAACATGGAAGCAGCATGTCAAACACAAACAGTCTCCAAGTAGCTGCCACCTGCGAAGCTCAATCCTGTTGATGACATGAGCAGCTCCTCCGAGCGAACTACAACGACGTCTGCAGCAAGGTGCACAACAAGCTGCAATTTCCTTTTAGACTCTGAAATGCGGTCGCTGTGTAAAATAACTCACAGCAGTTCCAACTTCTAACCGAAAAGGGTCTTGACTACAAGGGAACACATGTTTTCGTCTCCTCCACCTCCTGGTAGCCCCAGCCGCCCTTCTCAACCTCCTGTGCCTTGTGGCACCACACTGTTTGAAGCATGGGTCCTTTGTGCTGGGGCATGCTTAAAAAAACTTAACCTTGTTTGCTAGGGCTCGTGGCTCCCGACTCGAAAGACTGATGCCTTTCAAAATTTCCAAGGAGAAGTTAGGGGTGTCCATTCCCAAACTCAGCCCCGGACGCCCAGCAGGTCCGGTTCCCAAGAGTTGATCTTGCCCAGGACGTTTTCGCCCTCGGACAATCTCGCGCACCAGGCTGAGCGAACTTGTCAGGAAATTCAGGGAGCATTCGCAGGGGCCTTCCAGGAGTTCGCATTAAAGGACGACCAGCCCATGAGGTTGTAAGACATCACCTGCAACGGGCTCGCTGCACAGAGCCCAACAATTTCTGCTGAAGTATAGCGGCTAGCAGGCCTTGAGTGTCGCACTGGGATGACTCATGTTGGCTGGAGGTAAGGAAGGCGACCAGGTTGACACCTGGACATGGCACGACATCCCTCCGTGCGAGGGAATCAGAGCATGACAGGTGATTCGCCGACATGCCTGCCTCACTCCGAACTCGAGAATTCGGGAACCCTGCACTTTCCCCAACCCGCCTCAGGATGCATCGGCTTCGGCTTGGTGCCAAGCTGCAAAAGAAGATGATCCCTGAGGCACGAGGAAACCACCAAGGAAATGACGGGTGAAGCACAAACGAACAACATGAGGCCTTGTCGCTCGAGGCACCTGCCAAGTCGGCGACTGCTGACTTTGAAACGATCAAACACGTTTGTGGACAGGCCTTGTGCGCATTCGAACATGGGCTGGATTCAATATCCTGCGGCTGGCGGCTGCAGTAGTTGTGGTGCGACGGCACTAAGTTCGTGCGACTGGGGCTCACATGCATATGTCCTCGCAGCCTGTATGCGTGGCAGCGCATCCTTTGACTAGGCAACTACTCAGACATCGCGGCTTCGAGCTCTTTCCAGCCTCACAACTAGCTTGTTAAATCAGCCAAGCCGCCCGAAGACAAGATCAGTGCAAGGCGTGCAATTTTCATCATGGGCATGCAAAGTCTCCACCGAACTTGCGTTCAAAACGAACCGAAGTCGCTAAGTAGCAGCTACTACCAGTTGATGTGATGGCTCGATTGCATTATATATGCACTTCCACTTGGGCCAAGCAAACCAGATGCTCTGTCCAAGTGCAAAGATTGAAATCAACACGAGCTTGCCCGAAACCGTGCCGCCTTGTATGCTGGAGTCTTCTCATCGCCGCCAACGAGTTCACTCTGAACTCCTGCGAACGGGTCCACGTCCTGGCAATGCGTGACACAGCCAACCACTCACAAACCTGCCCCACAAAGAAATAGCCATTCAAGCTGACACTACTTTTGTTTTTTGTTTAAATGCCTCGCTTGACTATGTTTGTTTGGCATACATGTGGTTTTATGTGACAAACAGAACATGAAGTGCAAACAACTTAACGGTAGCATGTAATTATGGTCCTCCATGAATGCAGCACGAAGGCCCAAAGGAAAAGGGCCACAACATCCAGCTAGCCTGTTGCATTGTTTGAAGCCACAAGGCAGCAGATGTGGAACCTCACACGACCGAAACTTTATCGTCCCCGACCCTGACATGCACATTCAAAAGTCATGCAAGCTCCGCAAGCTGCAAACAGCAAACGTTCGACAAAAACTTCTGCGAATCACAGCCTCCATCAAGCTGGACAGCGCACATGCAAAGTGGTCTTCATTCAGCTTTGACCTTCAGTTTTGCAGCCATTCCAGCTCTCGCTGGTGAATAGCAGCTGTACTCACAAAAGCTGTTCGAAACAAGGTGCTTTCGGAAACTTTTTCTATGTTGGAACTTTGGGTCTGAAACTCTGAAACCGTGCAAATCTGACGAGCGCACGTATGATGTTTTCTTCTCAAAACCAATGAGCTTGAAAGATGCAGCCCAACGGCTGACAGCAAGCCCGCAAATTGTGCATGGCGTTGTCCGCTAGCTGCAACAAGACTACAACGCAAACCGTGAACACCTGTGCTCTTACTTTCTCAACCCTAAATCTGTTTTTTCCAAACTGCGCACTTCTCACTCAACCTCCAGTTTTTAACCCTGCTACAGGGGCCAAAAAAAGAACGTTGACTATTCTTCGACATCATTTAAACAGTTTTTTCCTCGGCCATGAAGTATCTCGCAGCTGACTCCAAGGTTTTTCGAACCTCCATTGCATTGTTTGTTTTAGCCTGTAAGCCTTTTTCTTGACCTTTTCGGATGCAAAAGCGCAACACATGACATCAAAACACGACGCAAACGACAGGACCAGCTGAGGGGTTAAGGGTTTAGGGTTAGAGGTTTTTGGGGTTTAGGGTTTCAGGGTTTACAGGTTGAGGGGTTAAGGGTTTAAGGTTTGGTGTTTTTAAGGTTTAGGGTTCCAGTGTTTAAAGGTTAGGTTTAGGGTTTGAGGGCCCGGGTTCAGGGGTGTAGGGGTTGAAGCTTTTAGGGTTTAGGGTTTTTGGTTTTCGGTTTTACCAAGTTTAGGGTTTAAGGCATAAGGGTTGAGGTTTAGGGTTTGGGTTCAAGGTTGAAGCTTTAATGTTTACAATCAGTGTTATAGAATTATTATAATGTTGCAAGGGTTGAAAAAGGGTTGAAATTTCAACCGGTTGAAAAATGGCTTGTGCTTTTGATTAAGTGGTGGGGTGGCTTTTTCAACCGGTTGAAATTTCAACCGGTTGAAAACGTAGTGCTGTATATATAAAACACTATAAGCTGTGTACCAAATTATTAAACTTTTTAACTGGAGGTCACAGCCTGCAGGAAACCTACAATACAAAGATCTTGCTGCTGTGCGGCTACGGTCTGGGTTGTTTCAGGACAATCTTCCAGGGTCTATATGTTCGGTGGCACAGGTTCTAGGTGTTCCAAAGGCTCATGGATAAAGGTTGTGCAAGGTGGGGGTTGCTCCAGTTGTATAGTGGTTTAGGTGAATTGGTGGTGTACATGCTGAGGATTCAAAGGTGTGGGTTTCAGGGATCGCCCAGTATGTTCAGAAGGCTTCTGGCCCTAGCAGGTTTTGGGTTCCAGTTAAATTTTATGTGGGGGCATCATTACATCATCATATCACAGTAACATGTGAATGTTACTGTGATATAATGATGTAATGGTGTAACAAGCATGTATAGTGTGATGTACATGAACTTATCGTCATCTATAAGTATAATATCGATCGTCATTTAATATAGTATATACTCATATATAAAATATATGATATATATATATATACACACATATATATATATATATGTACTAAAACCTTAAAAAGGATTAGTATCATAATCTTATATATATATATGTATATATTAATGGACATAAATATATATATATACACATACATCTAGACATATATACATAAACACCCTTACCTTGTAGAACCTCTATACTTTGGATCTATGTTAACCCTTACAGAAACCCAAATCCTCTAATCCCTGAAGCTTGAAACCCTAAAGCAAAACCCTCAGGTGTCTTGCTGCATGTGCTGCAGATACCATGTGTCCGGGCCACAGGTGCAACAGTGATATGCTGCATCGTTTTGTCACAGCATGATAAACAAATGCATCAAAACACACTTTCGATTTTGTGGCTCCAAATCAAAAATAGTTTAAATAACTGGAGCCTTTTGTACAGTTGCCCTTTTGGCATCATGGCCCCAAAGAATAAGGCCAAGGCTGCTCCGAAGACGGAGCCGAAAACTAAGAGGGCCAAGTCCGGTGCCTTGGTGATTGGAGATGATCCCACACCGGTGGAGATGAAATCCAGCATTCAGAGGATGCTGAATCTTGTGAAGTACAAAGCCGACCCCGTGAGAAACAAGAGTGGGGAGTGCCAGAGCGAAGCCCAGCAAGTGCTGGAGGCCGGGTTGCAATTCTCCATTTGCTATGCATTACATTTTTTTGTGGGTATTGCATGTGCCAGGCCTACCGGCAGATCGCCGACTCGGACCGAAAGGGATTCATCGCTGCCTACCAGAAGAATGCCCTTAAGGACTTGAAGTGGGTGGGCCAGTACACCAAGAAGGTTGTGAAGGAGGAAGCCGAGGAGGATGTCTCTATCAATGGCATGATGACAGCGACTCTTAGATTTTATTTTATATAGGTTGCTTGGTCATTTTGTTTTTAATGTTTTGCTTGGTCATTTTGTTTTTAATGTTTTGTTTTGCAATGCCGCTGAGGTCGCGAATTTTTGACCTGAATGGCCTCAAGATCAGCGACTTCCCAGAGAAGAGGCAGAAGGAGTTGCTGGAGGGTTTGCTCCAGGAATCCGAGGATTTCTGGGGGCACGAGAGGAACCTGGTGAAGCACAAGATGCCCGAGCTCTGCCGGTACTTTTACCGGACCTTGGTGGAAAGCAAAGATGCAACCCGATCGACCGAGTCAGGCACCTTCGAAATGAGTGCTAGCCTAGCAGCGAAGGAGATGAAAAGCCTGCAGAACACCAAGGGTGAGGTGAAGTTGGAGCACCCCGAGCGGACCAAGCTGAGCAACTTGAGCAAAGTGGCCAACAGTGCAGTCAAGAGCCTGGATGCCAAGCATGGAGAGTTGAGCTCGGAATGCATTGCTCTCGGGAATTGCCCCAAGCTCTCTAGCAAAGCGCCGGAGGTCCGGGTTACCCTGGATGCTCTGAAGAAGTTTGCGGAGGATCTTCGAAAGATCCAGGTCCTGCTGGATCGCAAGCTTCCCACGATGGACGAGGCAGCCTGCAAGAACGAGAAAGCCGACATGGAGCAGTGGAATCGCAATGCCAATGAGCATGAGTTGTTTCGAAGCTGTTGAAAGACCAACTAAAACAGTTGGACGAATATTCCCCAATTGATATGTGGGGAAAATCAGAAATATGTCACCGTCGCAAATATAAATGCCCATCAATCAACGATGTACATGTTGCAACTGAAGATGCAAGACACTCCGCGCTCGACCAATGTTTTAACAGCGAAGCTCGCCGGTAAAGGTTGTGTGAAAAGAGGAGGCCACCGCAAGGAGATACACACCTTGCAACAATGAAGTTGCATTTCGCAACCTCAATCTGCCCCTAGGAGTGGGTGGGTGGGTTCAAGAAAATTTCACGGTGACTGCAGCAGAGCCACACGACTACAGGCACACGACATGGATTCTCAAGGCATCTTCGTAAAGAGATGCAAAGTGAGAAAAAGGAAAACCCGTGTGCCAAACCCCCCACGTGAAATTAAATGACAAAGCTCTGTGAAAACAGAAAATGTTTTCGTGATAAAGGCACACGAAAACGAAACTCAGATTCTCAAAAACTCACTCCGATGGACACGTCCACCTCGCGAGTTGTTTCGAAGCTGTTGAAAGACCAACTAAAACAGTTGGACGAATATTCCCCAATTGATATGTGGGGAAAATCAGAAATATGTCACCGTCGCAAATATAAATGCCCATCAATCAACGATGTACATGTTGCAACTGAAGATGCAAGACACTCCGCGCTCGACCAATGTTTTAACAGCGAAGCTCGCCGGTAAAGGTTGTGTGAAAAGAGGAGGCCACCGCAAGGAGATACACACCTTGCAACAATGAAGTTGCATTTCGCAACCTCAATCTGCCCCTCTTCGAAGAATGACGGAATGCTACTTCCATGGATCTCTGGTCGACAACTTTGTGGCCTTTGAGCGCGATGCCGGATCCTTCTGAGGTGGGGCCCCTCGCTTACGCGATCTCCACTCCGCGATATCTTGATAAAGCGAAGTTCCCAATTCAAGCATCTCCTTCATGATCACCGCTTGGTAATCCTTGAAAGAGAATCGAAGCCTCAACGCAGGATCGAAGCTTTTGAAATCTTGATTTGTTAAAGCATCGGCCAAAGCGTTCTGTAACCTCGGTGCCCAGTGAAGCTCGAGTGACAAAGCACGCCCTTGAAGAACCGTCGCCAGTTCCATGAGCACTGCAACCAGTGGGAAAGAAGTCGTCAGCCAACGAGCCGTGAGCAGACTGTTACCCCGGTTGTCCGTCGCAGCACTGCAAATGAAACTCGCCTTCGTGTTGGGCGGAGCTTCAAACAAGATCACTCCCACCAAAGTCGCAAGTAGCTCGAGTGAAGCAATTGCACGATAAGACTGGCCTGCCATGTGAAACCACGGGGCATCCACATGAGAAATCTTCTCGGCGAACCATTGGCATTTGCGTGGATCTGCGGACTGTCCGAAGCCCACCCTCCGATCCACATCTGATCTCCCTCAGCCTTTGCGTCCGTGCGGAAAAGCTCCACAGTGGCGCGCCCCTTCCGGGGCACATAAGCTGTGCGAAGATCTTTTAAGAAGAATTGTTCGAGAAACGAAAGAATCAAGACGACTGCCTTCGGGAGTTTCAAAACATGACAATGCCTCACAGCAGCTACCCAAGCGTAAAGCGGACCTAAGAAAGGGCGCAGCAGAGGCAAAACAGTCAGGCCGAAAGAAAGCCTCCCGACCACCGCTCCCATATCAGCAATGTTCACGAAGCCGTCGGCCTTGACTTTCCGTATCCAGCAAATCATCCAATCCGAGCGTGACTTGGAGATGCCCAGGAGCCTTTGATGCGCTGCAATGGAAAATCCAATCCAGCCATGCTCGGCTCCACCTCGGAATTTATGCCAAGCGAAGGGAACTCCCAGAATCTCCAGAAGGAAGATCGATGCCAAGATTCGTGGCAGGCCCTGAGCGGATTGCGTAAGCCAGATCAAGTCATCCACATAAGTTAACAGAGTGGTTGCGTCCTGACCATGACAATAGTAAAGAAGTCTCCCGAGGCCAGCAAACAAGCGATACCACCAGTAGGACGCGCTGGAGATGCCGAATGTCCCGACCGTATTCAAGAAGACGCGATCCTTGTTACGGGCCCGGCACGCTTGCCTGGCCCAGTCGGCCCTCCGCACAAGGACCAGCCGATGTGCACGGCTGATGTCCCCCGAAAGCGAGAAGAAAGCACTGGGGAGCTCCTCCAGGGCAGTAGCAAGGTCCCCTCCGGTAGGAGAGCTCTGAGCATCACGGACCTTGATGCGATCATTCACATGTTGCCCGTGGGTCCCATCGTGGACCACCCTCACCGAGTCGTCATCTTTGGGTATGGCACCCAGAGATGCCACTGAGAGCGCGTCGCCGAACTCAGCACGAGCCTCCTCCACTGACATCTCCACCATAGCGCCCAACGAAACCTCCTTGGCAAACTGCTCTTCAATCTTCGCCTCGTGACCGCGGGCAGAAGGATAATTGGCGCGGAGCTCCTCCGAAAGTAGATCCCGAGCAGGATGATTTCGTGTATCTCCTCCAATCCGGATCCCCTGCCAAGCGCAGCATCTCCCCAATGGCCTCCAAGTAAAATGGCTGCCGCTCCGGCACGTGGTCCAATGCCTCGCGACTCCCAGCCCCACGTAACTTGCTAAAGAGGAGGTCGCGACCAGCCTTGAGCAAATCCGGATGAAAGGGGGAGCAAGAAGCTCGACCAGTCGCCAGCTTGCAGATTTCCCGCTTCACATCCAGAGAGTCAGTCAGCAGCTTGAGCAAGCCATCCATGAGCCCCTTGTGTAGTGAGAGATCAAGATCACTGTCTCCAGCGGGCCTCCGATCAGGGGGCCAGCGGCCCGGCGACGCCAATCCATGCCCATCGGCAAACCACCTCGAGCGACCCATGAGTTTGGTCTTAAGTGGCGGGCCCCAACCCAGCTTGCCCGAGCCGTAGCCAGGTTTCGCCACTCCATCCTCATCTTCCTCCGAAGTGCTGCCAGCTTCTCCGTCAGATGCCACATCGTCGTCGAACTTGTCCTTAGGAAGATCACCCCAAAGGTCCTTCGCCCCCGGAGCATCGTCGTTATCTTCCAGGAGTCTCTCAATCGGAGGCCGGTCCGTAGCTGAGACTTGCGTCGGTGTGCGAAAACCCAGCGAAATCAGAAAATCCAAATCCTGAGCGGCCATGTTCTCACCCAGAAACGGAGTGTAGGCCACGAGAACAGTCCTGCAGCCTTTCCACTCCATAGTGCAATGAAGACGCCGGGCGTCAAACACAGCAAAGGTGCCGGCTGTGGGAAGCACATCTCCCAGCTCCGAAAAGGCATCGAAAGGACAAGGAACAGACCCTGAATCCGAAGAAACCCAAACCCCACCCCCCCCAAACCCGGAGAGACCTGCCACAAGGTTGCAGGTACCCTGTTGATTCCCCAGGTCACGGTGGGGAAGAGTACGGAGATTGCGAAAGAGAGCCACTGCCATAAACTGAAAACCTTGCTTAAGGGAATCCACGAAACGACAAAGGGCCTTTGTCACTTCAGGGAATTGCCTCGTGGCTTTCCGCACTCCTAGAAGACCACCGCCGACAGCGTAGGAACCCACGGTGAAAGCCTTGGAGCCTTCTTGTAGCTCTCCTCTCGGAGGGCTGTCAGATGGCAGCATGTCCAGGAGTCTCAAGAGCTGCTGTTTCGTCGGGACATGCCATGAAGAAGCCAACGCCTCCGGATCGGAGGAAGAAGCAGAGCTCGACGAAGAAGAGAAAGCATTCTCTGAAGTATCCTTCCCGGCCCGTAAAGAAGAATCCCCCTGTCCCGAGGCCGAGAAGGGTGTCCACGCCAGCCAGGCCAGTTTCGCAACAGCTCGGCAAAGAGCTGCGGGGTAAACCGAAGAGGCCAGTGCCGCTCCATGATCGTGACCGCAACTACGAGGAAGCGGACCGCGATAGTGACCTTCATGATCTATAATGGGCCAGCCTTGCACGCCCAAGGAACCCAAGTTGGGCCAAGTACCTGCAAGGCGAGTCGGTCTTCGTGTCGGGGCCCCATAGGAGCACTGTGTCAAAGCCACAGAAGAGGCCTGCACACGCAAGAAGAACTTCTTAGTCTCGGCCCAAGTCCAGATGGAGGCTGGAATGCCTCGCGAGGTGGCGCCGAGGTGCTCCGGATGTTCCCAAAGCCATGGAATCCGCATAGAGTCCGCCTTATGTGCAAGCTCCAAGGCCCGCTTGATATGACGAGTGCCCGTCTGGGCCTTTTCCTTCAAGGTGCCTCGAAGCCAGGGAAAGCCCTCGGGCCAACGTTCGTCGCGCAATGGAGGTGACCCAGAAGAAGAAGTAAAGCGGCTCCGATGAAACGAAAAAGAAGGAGGGGACAGGAAC